GGTTTCTGTACTCAGACCATTCAGCGCGCATCGGCTCTGCCCCTCAGGACTGCCCAACAATGTCTTTAAAGGGAGAGATATCTGACTGTAAGCTGCCGGCACTTCTACCATCTCTCTTTACGTTCGGATTCGCCAGCGCAGGTCGCTCGTCCACCTCGTTGCTTCCTCTTCGATCTTGGTCGCTCGATTTTTGCCTAGGTCTTCAATATGCTCTTCCTGGCCCGCAAACATATCCTCATCAACGCGGTTCTGGTCCAGATAGCACTCGGCAGAGTGAGCAGAGAACGAGAGGTGAGCGGCGCAATGCGGTGGTCAAGATCGTTGTATGAAGCCGACGTTGACATATCGTCTGACTGCTTGACAGTCCGTGATGAGACGTAGTCCTGGTCTGGAGGGCGCCGCGAATGCATTCGACATTTCGCACCCGTTCGTCAAAAGCTTGCACGCCGAGCTCGAGCCGGTACATCGCACGACCACTGAGCGCTTCGCTGCTTTTCAAGTGCCTGCATTCAAGAAGAAAGCATCTTCCCAAAGGAATGCCTTTGCATCCGATACGCCATCACGTCACGAAGGCATTGCCGCCAAGCTGAACGAGACCCGCAAACAGTACGAGAAAGTGGTCCTCGGAAAGGGTAGTTCGAGCCCTGCGAGAATGGTCGGCGCAAACCTTATTCGAAGCCCATCGCCCGAAGCGCACATGACGGACAGTCATTCGACAAGCCCAGTCAGTGTGCTCAAGCAGAAACATATCCTTCATCGAGTCCAGGCTTCACTTGCTTCCAGCAACGGCAAAGGCGATGGTGGACACCAATCTGGGACAGGCGTCTTTGTGCCAAAAGTTGACGTGTACGAAAAGGCTGTCAACAAAAACGATGGCCTGAAAGCTTACTTCGGCGAGAGTGGTGACCTTGCAAACATGGGCACGCGAAAGAAAATTTACGAGGTTGCCGAGAAACTCAAAGCTAACTCCCCAGGAGTATTTGAACGGTATATTACGGATGGCGCCTCGTCCTCGGGTAGCAGGTCCAGAACGAGCAGCTAGAGGTCTCCAAGCCCTACAAAACGAGCCATGGCGACAGCCGACTCTGCGAAGGATGGCGGAGGAAGCGTGCCCAGGATCACGACGTATCGTCGACGTGAATGGCGCG